TTCAGAGCAAAACATTGTTCTGGAAGGTATAAAAAAAAATCTGATGGGTGTTGCGAGCTGAAACTTTACAGACACATTCTGGAGACATAAAAGAATGATCTTAAATCATGATAAAGGGGTAAAATAGCTGTCCTTTAAATTAAAAACTTTTCAGCTTTTATTCTAGCTGAAATAAAACAAATAAGACTTTCTTCAGAACAAATATTATAGGAAATACAGTAAAAATGTCTTGCTCTGCTGATCATCATTTAAGAAATACTTAAAAAAGAAAAAAAAATGAACAGGAACGCTAATACTTGTGACTTCAACTGTAGCTAAAAGAAAACATGGATAAAGTGCAAAATATAAGTCCTGGGTATAATATGTTTCATTGTGCGGAATGACTGTTGACATGTGTAAAAGATACTTTACTCTTTATATTTTTTTTCTTTTAAATCATACAAATCCTGAATTATAGTTGTGAAAAGTAAATTAATTACACAACGTTGCAATTTATGCAGCCAGTTGGGTGAAGATTGGGTTAAGAGAGAGATAGAGAGAGAGAGAGAGAGAGAGAGAGAGAGAGAGAGAGAGAGAGAGAGAGAGAGAGAGAGAGAGAGAGAGAGAGAGAGAGAGAGAGAGAGAGAGTATGTAATGTGTGTAATGTGTGTAGCAGTATAGGGAAGGAATAATACTTTCCTATACTGTATACCACAGTGGCCCTTCATCTGTGTATGTTTGTGTGTGTGTGTGTGTGTGTGTGTGTGTGTGTCATCTTATTTCTTAAATTGTTTTGTCAAATTAATATGATATTTTTATTCTATTCTTTTATTTTGATATGTTATTGTAGTTTTATATTTGTCCTCCTATTTCAAACTTTGGCAGTATTGTATTATTTACAGTCAAGCCAATAAAGCAATTTTGAATTTTAGAGAAAGAAAGAATTACGTTGTTTAGGAGTTGCGATTTATAATATTCACCACAAGGTGGCGCATGGGAAGTTCTTTTTCCAGTCTATGGTAGTTATTGACCAAAATGCACTTACTGGGTCCTTATTCTCTCTTGGTGTTAAATTATAGTCTTCTTATTATCCAGGCCTCAAAGCCAAATTAAAATAATTAAATAACCATAAAAATGTGGCACTATACTGTAGTGGTCAACATTTTCATTAAAAAAGTGTAATTATTTTTTTAGTAATTTGTAATACTATAGTAATAGTAACGTAATACACTTTGAAATCTTCTACAGAAAATTTAAATATCGATTTTAATAACTAAAGTATATATTTGGATTATAGTAATATCACATTTATCTTAAATAACATGCCTGCATAGCTTTTTTGGTGTGAACATGCAATTCTTGTACAGTATATGCATTGGAAATGTCAAAAAAGAATGACTAGCGTTCATTCATTCATTTTTTCATTCATTCATTTTCTTGTCGGCTTAGCCCCTTTATTAATCTGGGGTCGCCACAGCGGAATGAACCGCCAACTTAACCAGCACGTTTTTACTCAGCGGATGCCCCTCTAGCCACAACCCATCTCTGGGAAACATCCAAACACACACACTCATACACTACGGACAATTTAGCCTACCCAATTCACCTGAACCGCATGTCTTTGGACTGTGGGGGAAACCGGAGCACTCAGAGGAAACCTACGCAAACGCAGGGAGAACATGCAAAATCCACACAGAAACGCCAACTGAGCCGAGGTTCGAACCAGCGACCTTCTTGCTGTGAGGCGACAGCACTACCTACTGCGCCAAAAAACACATCTATAAATAACTACATCTGTATTAGCTTTTAGCAGATGATGGCAATAGAAAAAGTGACTCGCCCAAACATGAAACGTTTTTTTCCTTTCTAAAACTTCTACAGGTAGACAGGTCTGACTGGCAATACATTTAGGCCTCCACACTGTATTGTGTGACTAAAACAGTCTCTTTAACTCTCACAAATTAAGAGATTTCAAATTCATGATGACTGACATTGGTACTGGTTAACATATATCACAGCCTTTTTTTTTTTTTTGAGACATATAAGATCAATGTAGGTGTTATTCAAGCATTAACTGAAAGAAAATACAGAAAAAAATGTTTTCAGGTTTGTTAAATATTGCTATTTTGAATATCCTAAAAAAAAAAAAAAAACACCTCATGCGAGTGTAACCTTTTGTAATATATGACTTTTATTTTGCATATTTTTTCAATTTGCAATTTTAGTTTGGTATCACAGCCAATGATGCCATAAATTAATAATTTTGGCGTCCACAAGGGACCTTTCACTGTACAGTTTTTAAACCCCTTTATTATTTACTCAGTGTGAAGCTTTTGAATAATTGTTTTTTTATTATAAAGAAACTTTTGCGGAATTGAAAGGTTCCATTGCTGGTTAAGGTTCTTCATGGAGTCTTAAATGGCAATAACAAAAACTTTCTTTTTAAGAGTGTCCGTGCAAAAGCACAACAACTGAAATGCATTACTATAACACCAGCATCTATCACAAACACAAAGTACACCAGAACTATCTATCAAGCTTACCACTTTCATAAAATATTCAACTTACCATCTACTCCCATTGCCTCAGCAATTCTTTGCCACAATGATGTTTCTGTAGTTGTGTGACGTTTATCAAAAAGTTCTGTTCTCAGACAGCAAAGGCAACAAACACATGACAATCATTCTTTTCCAGAATTGTCTTCCTGTTCTGCGACACCACAAACTTTAAAATATACTGAGTGTGAAAGTTAGTAAGTCACAAATGACACACAATACACTGAAGCCTACAATTATATCCAAGCAATTTTGGTCACCCCTAAGTTCTCATATATTTGATTCTGTCAATGCTGTGAGTTGCTGTAGTCTAAAAAGACATTATTTTTTATAATAATAATCCAAAAGATAACCCCCTGGAACACATTAGACTCTTTTTTTTTATCTTATATGGCACATTTTTCATTCACAAAGAGAAATTGGCAAATAATTACCCATCCTTTGCTCATTTTAGAATAGAATTTAACTCCCTCCTTAAATCCCTTCATCTTATTAAGAATAAAAAAAACAAGGATTGCTGAAATATTATACAGACGTATTTAAAGAAGATCCTTGATTTTATCTGTTTTACTTGTGGTTATTCGTTTAAGTGCCATTGTAATTTCATTAATTTGTTTGTTTAATTTAGTCATTTTAGTATTATTTTTATCAATACTATGATTATTGTTATTTTTATTTTTCCCTTTCTGTCTAATGCTATACTATTTGTATTTGTATGTGTCACTTACGTTGGAGAATTTTGGTTGCAAAATCTGAAATAAAAACAGCAATCAAACCTTAGTGCTGATAGCTCCTCTCCTTCTGCCACATGAGCAAAGCTGCAACTGTTGAGTGAATGAATCTGTTTATCGAGACAAAAGGGATTCTGTTCATAGGTTGAATAGATGCATCATCTGGTTTTTTAATGTGCACTTATTATTGTAGAATTTTCGTTATGAATGCACTACATATCCTACAAAATAGCATAGACTTTAGTGCATATGTGATATGATACACACCTTTCTTTCTTTGTTTATCTTTTTTTGTTGTTGTTAACATGGGTCATACCTGTTGTGAAATGATCCAATGGAAAGCGATTGTTTAGGGCATCACACATTCATGCTGTTTAATAGTTCTCAGTGTGAAAGGACCTTTAAATGACATTACTAAAGTAAAAAAAAACACACATTCCTCTAATATGTTTATAAAAACACAATTTAAACAATTCTCACCTGTAAAGGTCATCCTGCTTCTTCTGAAATTTGATCTCAGTGTGAACTGGAAGTTCATGCAGACTGTTATTTTAGTATGATAACATTTTAAACTGGATATTAAGGGGTGGGGGGGTGGATTGGGTGGAACTGGATATAATCGGCAGGGGGTTGGGGGTGTAGGCAAGATCTGAGAACCGGGGGTGTTGTTTGCGATGTTAGTGATAACCGGGAGACTGTTGTTGGACACCGTGGCAAAATAGATGAGGACCGAGGTGGGACTGTTGTTGGAGACTATTCCAGAAAAGAATGTAGGGGTGGAATTATGGGAGTTTTCCAGGACAAATAACAAAACGGTAAGGTAAGGGTAGATGAGTATGACATACTGGAGTGTTGGCAGGTATGCAGATTTCATGTCATCAAACTGATGTCATTAGAGTTGGGCTGCCAATCAACCACTGTGAATGGTTTGATTTTGATAAAAGATATTACTAAAACAATTTTTTTTTTAATAAATTAACTTGCATGGATTAATTGTTCACCTTAAGACTATCAATGTATGCTAGCAAAGCAGACATTGTACATTTTCATTTCATGCAGACTTTAAATCTCAGCAGTTTTTACAACCAGAGGCTGTGCAACGAAGAGGTATCTTGGAAAACTCATTGATTTTTCTACTGCGAGTGATGACAAGTCAACATGCTGGAAATGAATGTGGCATCTACTCACACATACAGTATCTACGATAAACAGTACGTCAAAGCCTTTCAGGTTCAAATAAGGGTCAAGGCTAGAGACAAACACAAATGAACAACATATAAAGCTGTATGAAACACAAATCAAATCAAAAGATGATGAACAACAGTGCTCAGCATGAAGCAAGACCACATATCACATTTTTTCATGAACACTTATTTTGTTATGAAAATATACACACTAACTGAGTCTTTATACTTAAAAATGTCTGTATTCGTTCATGTACTCTTTTAGTTGACTATAATAGCCTATATTCTGTTAAAACATGAAACTGTAGAGGTGTTGGACTATAAACAAAAATTTATTGCTCCATCCACCAACTGACCTGTCTAACCCAATTGATGTAGACAGACTCAATCCACATGACCCGATCACACTATGAGCACCTCTGTGGACTCAGAGATTATCATAAGCATAGCCTAAACCATATTATGCTGAGGGGTCAAAATATACTAATCTATAATCTGTCCTGTAAAGGCATCAAAACAGACTGTGCTCAACTTTCCCATACCAAAGCCACCTACAGCAAACCAGCAACCATGAACGGCACAGAGGGACCAGACTTTTACGTTCCCATGTCGAATGAGAGTGGCGTGGTGCGCAGCCCTTATGAATACCCACAATACTACTTGGCATCTCCGTTTGCGTTCTACTGCATGGCCGCGTACATGCTGTTCCTCATCGTGACCTGCGTTCCTGTCAACGGTCTCACTTTGTACGTAACCATCGAAAACAAGAAGCTCCGGACGCCTCTGAACTATATCCTTCTGAATTTAGCGGTGGCTGACTTGTTTATGGTGTTCGGTGGATTTACAACGACCTTCTACACCTCCATGCATGGATACTTTGTCCTGGGACGGGCTGGTTGCAACTTAGAGGGTCTTTTTGCAACCGTTGGCGGTGAGATTGCACTTTGGTCTTTGGTTGTTCTGGCTGTTGAGAGATGGGTAGTCGTTTGCAAGCCTTTCACCAAATTTCGCTTCTCACAACTTCATGCTACCTTAGGAGTGGCTTTTTCTTGGTCGATGGCCTGTTCGTGTGCCATTCCTCCACTCCTAGGATGGTCCCGGTACATCCCCGAAGGCTTGCAGTGCTCTTGCGGAGTGGACTACTATACGCCGAATCCTGAGACTGAGAACGAGTCGTTTGTCATCTATATGTTCGTGGTTCATTTCTCAATCCCTCTCACCATCATTTCTTTCTGCTATGGGCGCCTGCTTTGCACTGTGAAGGTTGCAGCTGCCCAGCAGCAAGAATCAGAAACTACACAAAGGGCTGAGCGCGAAGTGACCCGAATGGTGATCCTCATGGTCATCGCATTTTTAATATGTTGGCTCCCCTATGCCAGCGTGGCCTGGTACATCTTCACCCACCAGGGGAGTCAATTCGGCCCTGTTTTTATGACGGTCCCGGCTTTTTTTGCCAAGAGCTCAGCTCTCTACAACCCGCTCATTTACGTCTTCATGAATAAGCAGTTTCGACACTCCATGATGATGACGGTGTGTTGTGGAAAGGATCCGTTCCAAGATGAGGAGGAAGGAAGCTCCAGCTCTAAGTCTAAGACTGAGACCTCGTCCGTCTCCTCTAGCTCAGCTTCTTCTGCCTGAGGCTCAGGCTCTGGGCTATTTGTGGAAAACACAACTCCACTGCCTGCAGATTATGACAGGACTTATGGAAGATTCTGAAATGAAAGATGGAGTTGTATAGATATGTTTCAAAAAATATTTTAAATATTATGTGCAATTACTATAATTGTTCTAATAATATATCAAGAATATTAGTTTATTATAAAAATGTGTGATTTTATATTTACATATTTTCTTTTACTTATGGTAACACTTTAGAATAATGCCCCATTAGTTCATGTATTTACTAACATGACCTAAGTGCCAATAATAACCTTGTTCACTAACTAATGCATTATTAAAACAAAAGTTGTCCTTGTTAACATTAGTTAATGCACCATGAGTTCATATAAACTAATGTAAGTTAAAATAAATGACACTAAATAACGTTAAGGCGGTTCATTCCGCTGTGGCCACCCCTGGTTTATGAGGGAATAAGCAGAAAAGAAAAAAGATTAAATAACGCTAACAAAGATGAATAAATAACCATAATAAACATATATCTAATAGTTTGTTCATGTTAGTAAATACATTAACTAACATTAACTATGGACCATTATTTTAAAGTGTTACTGAATATACAAACAGTATAAGATTCGTAAGACATATAAGATAAGATTTTATTTATTTTTCTATTTTGAAAGAAATACAGCAAGCATGTATTCATTTGATCAATTGCAATGGTCAAAATATTGTTATTCGACTTACAGTAGTTGTCAAATATAGGATTATCTTTGCTATTTATTGAAACGTGGCTGTTATGTGGATGCTTTTTTAAGCAGTGTAATTTGAACATGCATTTTAGTTGTTTCGTATAAATTAATGCAAGGAAACAGGCTTATTAAGAACTGTGTAGGAGAAGTTTTGCTAATCACTTTACAGTGGGCAATTAAGGAAATGCTGTTTACTGATTTTATTCCAAGTTAATGTATATTTTAGTTGCTGTGAGATGCTGGATTTTGTAGTGAAGTGAAATACAACACATTTTACCAATCAACTGCAGTGAGAATTGTTTTCAAAATCGGTGATGACAACAACAACAACAACAACAACAACAACAACAACAACAACAACAACAATAATAATAATAATAATAATAATAATTATTATAATTTTTCTTGAGCAACAACTCAGAATATTAAAAGGATAAAGACTGAGGTAATGGCTGTTAAGCTTTGCTATTTCAAGAATAAAAGGCATTTTTAAATGTATCATAATGCATTATTTAAAATATTTAAAATATATTTCATAAAATATTTCCATGTATCAGTGTTTGCTACATTTTTATCATATATCCTATGATTTGCTTAATTTATTTAGAACAAATGAATTTTAGCGTAATGAGAAACAAGTATAGCCCTCAACTCCATTAGATTCACAAGTTTCATTGTTTTAAGGGTTGCAGAAATTCCTTTCTAATATTACATCACCATGGGGAGCAGATCTTTCAGCCACTCTGCTCCTCAGCTTTGGAATTCACTCCCTCCTGATCTCCGTAGTTTAGACTCTCTTTCTCAATTTAAATCCAAACTCAAAACACATCTGTTTAGAACAGCTTATTCACTTTAACCTGACCGCATTTTTAAAGTTTGAATTGTTTTCTATTGACTTGTATAGTGTTTTTATTTGAATTGATTGGTCTAGCTGTCCTGTATGGTGACCTTGAGTGTCATGAAAGGCGCCTTTAAGTAAAATGCATTCATTATTATTATTATTATAGTACCATATCATCTGCAAAACAGTGTTAAACAATAAAGGCGTTCAATGAAGTAAGCAAAATAATCACTCTTTTTTTAATCAAATCTAAATTAATGTAGTGTCATATATAGAAAACTGCAATATGTTTCTTCACAATGAACAAAAAAAAAATGTTCTCTGACTTACCACAGTCAACTGCAAAGTCATTTTCTGTCATCATCTATGACAAGAAGGAAAATTCAACTTTTAAAATTCAATCAATTTTCATTATTCTTGTAGGCTTTTTATGGGTTTTGCACCTTGCTCTCTGGAAACAAACGCCTATGAAACTCTGTAAAAATGACCTTGAGGTAACTATGGCAACCCAGAAACGTCCAACCCTCCCCCGGAGTACAACAGAATACAAATTCAGACCTGAATAAACAGAAGAGACGAGCACAACCACTGATACAGAGGGAGAGAGAGCGATAGATTGAATGATAGAACAATAGAATGATACACAAAACAACTAGATAGAACGATAGATAGATTGATATGGATGTTGGGAAGTCTGCATACTTTGCACGTCTGGAGAGCAACAGTGTATAGCTGACGTCACTCCATTTATTTTTTTAATTCTCCAAAATGTAGGCCTTCTATTCTTGGATGCAGCAGTGGGACTGAAATGAGGTCAAAATAACAACCATTCACACCAGGTAGCTCGATGGTTTTATTCCAGGAATGATACAACCTTTTTTTCCTCTTGTGCCTGACATTAGACATAGTCCATCATCTGCAGAGTCATGTTTTTATATTTTAAAATAAATACATATTTCAAGATTATTATCAAATATAATAATAGATATAAGAATAAATACCCACATAACAAAATATATTTGGCCTTGATCTGGCCCATACAATCAGCTTTTGCTTGGCCCACATGCCTCAGTGAATTAAGGTACACATGACTGGACCAAGTCTGGCTTACGGACAAGGGCCAAACATGGATAATATCTGGGCCAAGTCTCAGCCAAGTTAATAACTCATAACTGAGCCTGAACTGGGCCAGATGTGTTGGTGTGTCACAACTGCTATGAAATTGATAAACCCATGAATCCTTGTGCTTTAGGCATGCTATGGGTGTGCTTTTTCTCGAAGTGATCTGATTTGTAGAATGTTTTTCCTTTATTTGAAAATAATAAAAATGTATTTTAAATGTGGGTCAAGATAGACCAAACTCACATGGCCCACATACCAATTATCAACATGTGACCCAAGTACTGTGTGCCGCCTTAAAGACGATGCCCACATGCTGTATGCCAGTGTCGGATAAATGCCTGCGGTGCCAGATTTAGGCCAATCTGGGCCAGAATTCTTTGCTGCCTGGGTAATAATAATTATCTGCAGACTTTTTATTGATTAAGCTGGGCAGTGGTGGGTCCTCCTTTTCAAACTTGCCATAGACTACACTTTGTAACCATAGTAATGATAAATAATGATCATTTATTTGTTCAAACAAATGAAAATAACCATAAATATAACTTATGGTTATGGAATAAAAGCTAAATATGCATAAATGTGTGCTGGCGAATGTAGATTAAGATATGATACAAAACAGACATAATTTCGCAGTCATAGGCCTGTTGACATCAAGAAGAGTAGGCTATGCTACTAGTTTTATGTATAGTAAAACATGCAATACGCAAATGGACATCAATTATTTCATACTAGGCCCGTAGCCAGCATGGTAACAGGGGTGTTTCTTTTTTCTCAAATAGTGGACTGTTTTTGCAGTTACTCGCCTCATTTTATATTTAATTATGAGATTTATATACTGCATTTTTGTGACATTTTAAGCACTATCATTAGCTGAATTAGCTTGTTAGATGGTCATCTGTAACCACACTTTTTGATGTACCAAAAATATTTCTTAGACATTTAGAATAAAGAAATATAAAATAGAAATTTAATACATCATATAGCGTTAGAAAAAATAGGAATCTGTTAACGTTTTAAATAAAAAACTGTGCTCTATTTTCATTTGTCAGGCAAATAACAAACTAGCCTGCACATTCAACTGTCCTGTCACAATTTAGCCATTTGAATAGTACAAAAATATAATGATAATAATATTGATGGATAACAACAATAGCCTAATCAGTATTCAAATTAATTTTAACATGGGCCACTTTTGATGCTTCACACCTTTTTATTGTTCATTTATTTTTGCCTCGAGGAGGAGGTCCAAGATTTAGAATAAAGGTTACTGTTCTTGTTTTCTATATTTAACAATACAGTAGGTCAGCAGTGACAGATAATTTTACATATGTCAGACTGTCTGTTTTCCTGCACAGCTGGATGTTGGATGTTGTTGAAAAATATTTGTTTGCTTTGGCCAAAATGGATATTTATAATATATAAATAATAATATATATATATATATATATATGATTATTTTTTTTTTACAGTGTAGACATTCTATGGCGCATTTTTAATGATTCACTGATTTAAATAATGTGTATATAAATAATATATATATATGGGGTATAAATAACGACCCACATAACAAAATAAGAAAATATAAGAACATTTCTGTTATTTTATGGCAAATTTCTGTAATTTAATGTCTTATTTTATGGCAAATTTAATTTGATTTGTTATTTTATGGCAAATTTCTGTAATTTAATTTCTTATTTTATGGTAAATTTCTGTAATTTAACAGCCACTATTTTACTTTTTTTTTTGTTCAGCATCCAAGCTGCCGGAAAAAAAAGTTAAATAACGTTTTTTTTTTTTTTTTTTTTTTTTTTTACAGTGTATGCATAGCTGAGTAATAAGATAAAAAGCTTAGTACATAAAAATTACATATCCTGAGACTCAAACAGCTTTGTTTCTTGGCTCTCGTGTAAATCTGGTGTAAAATTTCTTTAAAAACGGGTGAATCTGAACAAAACACAAGACATGAGTTCATTTCGCACTAATCTTTAAGAATGGTGATGGTTTCTCCAGTTCTAAATAAGTGTATGAAATGCAATCATATAAGCAAGTACTTTGTTTTTGGAATGTAGTGAAGTTTTCTGAAATAAAAGTACAGATATATATATATATATATATATATATATATATATATATATATATATATATATATATATATATATATATATATATATATATACAGTATACAACTGTATTGCAGTAGTTAATCAAAAATACTGTCCACCACTGCCCTTCATTTAGTTCATTCATTTTCTTAATAAGTCCCTTTATTAATTAGGGGTCACCACAGTGGAATGAACCGCCAACTTGTCCAGCTTATGTTTTACACAGTGGATACGCTTCCAGCTGCAACCCATCACTGGGAAACACTTATACACTCTCATTCCCACACATACACTATGAACAATTTAGCTTACCCAATTCACCTATAGCTCATGTCTTTAGACTATAAAGAAAACCAAAGCTTACAGAGGAAACCCACATAAAAACTGGGAGAACAATCAAACACAGAAATGAAAACTGACCCTGCTGAGGCTTGATTCAGTGACCTTCTTGCTGTGAGGCAAAAGCACTACCCATTGCTGCACTGTTTAAACTGTGCTAAAAGTTTAACACATTTTCAAAACACTTTTCTAGGTCAGTAATGTTTATTTAATATAATTCGGTTAAGTTACTGTGTGCTGCTCAAGTATGGACATAGGCTACTAATTCCATCTGATCCCTAAGCACCAGGTCGCTACTAGAGATGCAAAGAAGAAAGTACACCTGATGCACTTCTCTCTTTATGCATTCACATCATTCTCTTTAAGCTGGAGAGGAAGGCTCAGTCTCGCATTCATCTGATAACCCGAGAGAAGGAGTTCTCACTGGATTTTTAAAAAGCTGTCGACTCTGTGGGTAGCGTATTGAATCTCTTTTCCTTCACCTTCTGAACTGCCAAGAAGATAAAGAAGTCTTTGTTCTCTCCTCCTCTTTATTTTCCAGACATGTTGGCAAAGTGTTAGAGAAGAACCCAATGCAGTTAAACACAGTCTCTGCCTCCCACACGCATCCATCTTGAATACATTTCACAGGGCCAAGTTGTACTCGGCTCGACCGGCTAACTAGCCCATTTCCTTTTTCTGAGCTGGAGAATTAAAAGAAAGAGCGTCAAGATGTGTGTATATATACTGTTTTTATTTTTTGAACGTTATCATCATAGTTTTATTTCATTATCCCTTCATTCTTTTAAAATGATCACCTCTGAATGTACACATACTGCAAACTGTCAAAAATATACAAACAAATGCAGGCTTGTGCTATACTCTGGTCAAATGTCTAAAAAACAGTGGCACTGGGGAAGAGAAAGAAAATAAAGAAGAGAAAGGACATTGAAAGTGTAAAGACATGCACAGTATATGTCTGAGCACCACGTTGGCTGAGCTGCTCGGTGCATGAGAGGGCTCTCTGTAACTGAAGGTCTCTGAATCAGATAGTAGTCCAAAAGGCTGTCCTTTGTCAAACAAAATGAACGAAAAAGCAAAAAAATACACCAAGA